AGTCAAAAAATGTTATCTATGGAGGCAAAGAAGGGAATGTATGAAAGTATAGTAGTACCAACACTTTTATATGGGTGTAAAGCTTGGGTGGTAAATGCAGCAGTGAGGAGACGGTTGGAGGCAGTGGAGATGTCCTGTTTAAGGGCAATGTGTGGTGTAAATATTATGCAGAAAATTCGGAGTGTGGAAATTAGGAGAAGGTGTGGAGTTAATAAAAGTATTAGTCAGAGGGCAGAAGAGGGGTTGTTGAGGTGGTTTGGTCATTTAGAGAGAATGGATCAAAGTAGAATGACATGGAAAGCATATAAATCTATAGGGGAAGGAAGGCGGGGTAGGGGTCGTCCTCGAAAGGGTTGGAGAGAGGGGGTAAAGGAGGTTTTGTGGGCGAGGGGCTTGGACTTCCAGCAAGCGTGCGTGAGCGTGTTAGATAGGAGTGAATGGAGACGAATGGTACTTGGGACCTGACGATCTGTTGGAGTGTGAGCAGGGTAATATTTAGTGAAGGGATTCAGGGAAACCGGTTATTTTCATATAGTCGGACTTGAGTCCTGGAAATGGGAAGTACAATGCCTGCACTTTAAAGGAGGGGTTTGGGATATTGGCAGTTTGGAGGGATATGTTGTGTATCTTTATGTGTGTATGCTTCTAGATTGTTGTATTCTGAGCACCTCTGCAAAAACAGTGATAATGTGTGAGTGTGGTGAAAGTGTTGAATGATGATGAAAGTATTTTCTTTTTGGGGATTTTCTTTCTTTTTTGGGTCACCCTGCCTCGGTGGGAGACGGCCGACTTATTAAAAAAAAAAAAAAAAAAAAAAAAAAAAAAAAGTTTAATATTGGCTTATGACATCTGTTTGGTCTCCCTTTTCATGTATTAGGGTAAACATTCCTATCTTAAGTTTTTTTTTTTTTTTTTGTATTATTATTACAAAGTGACATCAAAAGGAAGAAACAAAAGTTTTTCTGTTTTTAACATTTAGTAAGTTAGTGGAACCTCTGTTTTCGTGATTAATCCGTTCTGAAAAGTCTGACGAAAACTGAATTGTACAAAAACTGAAGCAATATTTCCTATAAGAAATAATGTAAATCCAATTAATCTATTCCAGACACCCAAAAATATTAACAAAAAATACATAAATAGAGAATAACTATAGTTTTACATACAGAAAACAATGCGAAATGAATATAAATGACTAATGAAATGGATAAATGAACATTTAACATCACTTTTACCTTTATTGAAGACTCTTGTTGGCGTATGGAAGACAGCGAGGAGGGGAGAGGGAGGAGAGGTTATTGTTTTGATGGGGACTCCCCTTCCGAAAGGACATCAGGTATCAAGGCCCTATCCGGAGTTTCTTCCCTTCTTTGTCTAACTGGCACTAGGACCGGCTTGTCAGTGTACCCCTGTCACCCAAAATATCTGTCCAGAGAGGTCTGTTTTTGGGCATCTCTTTAAAATTTGCCTAAAATGGGACAAGGCATTGTCATTGAACATGATGCAGACACAGCTTTCAACAGCTTTGTTAGGGGTGATATTTCTCCACAAAACTTTGCAACTCGCTCTTCTTTGCACACATGTCCTTAATCACTGAAGAAGGCACATTCTTCCCTCTTTCTTCCTCCTCTGAAGCAATTTCCTCAGCTGCAGTCTGTTGCTGTTCCAGTTGAAGGTCTTGGAGCTCTTCAGTAGTTACCTCTTCCCTGTGGTCGTCCATGAAATCTTCCGCATCCTGGCCACTCGCATCCAACCCTATGGACTTCCCCAAAGTCACAATAGATTCCACAATAGGCATAGGGTCGTCAGGGTCAGTCTTAAACCCTATAAAATCCTTCTTTTGGACACATTCTGGCCACAGTTTTCTCCAAGCAGAGTTCGTCCTGGAAGTCACTTCCTGCCAAGCCTTATCTATAAGGCTTAAGCTATTGAGGATATTGAAGCGATTCCTCCAGAACTCTCTTAGGGTCAATTCAGTGTCCGAGGTCACTTCAAAGTACCTTTGAAACATTGCTTTGGTGTAGAGCTTTTTGAAGTTTGAAATGACTTGCTGGTCCATGGGGGCAAGAACTTCACTGTGATGAAACTAAACTCCTCTAACAATTAGTCTTCCAAGTCTGGAGGATGAGCAGGAGCATTGTCCATTACCAGGAGGCACTTGAGTGGTAATCGATTTTCCAGGAGGTATTTCTTCACACTTTGGCCAGACACTTCATTGACCCACTCAATGAAAATTTGCCTCGTGACCCACGCCTTATTGTTAGCCTTCCGCATCACACACAGTTTACTTTTGATGACATTGTTTTTCTTGAACACTTGGGGATTTTCAGAGTGATACACCAGTAAAAGGCTTCACTTTGAAATCCCCACTAGCATTACCACAGAACAAGAGTGTTAGCCTATCTTTCATAGGCTTGTGTTCTGGCAGTGCCTTTTCCTCTTGTGTGATGTAGGTCCACTTTGGCATTTTCTTCCAAAAGAGGCCTGTTTTGTCACAATTGAAGACTTGTTGGGGGAGGAATCCTTCAGCCTCTACGTACTCTTGGGCAGCATCTGCACCAGTAAGTGTGTCAGTGGGGGTGTACCTAGAGAGAGTTCCGGGGGTCAACGCCCCCGCGGCCCGGTCTGTGACCAGGCCTCCTGGTGGATCAGAGCCTGATCAACCAGGCTGTTGCTGCTGGCTGCACGCAAACCAATGTACGAGCCACAGCCCGGCTGATCCGGAACTGACTTTAGGTGCTTGTCCAGTGCCAGCTTGAAGACTGCCAGGGGTCTGTTGGTAATCCCCCTTATGTGTGCTGGGAGGCAGTTGAACAGTCTCGGGCCCCTGACACTTATTGTATGGTCTCTTAACGTGCTAGTGACACCCCTGCTTTTCATTGGGGGGATGGTGCATCATCTGCCAAGTCTTTTGCTTTCGTAGTGAGTGATTTTCGTGTTTCGTGTACGGGTGGCTTAGCAGCCAGTCAGCAATGGAAATGAATGTCTGTAGTAGCATCTTAGCCAGCAGCAGCATTTGTACTACAGTTTGTTTCCTCTTCAGTTTGAAGATACCATATGTGTTGCCTGCACCAATTCTGGATTATTTACCCTTCATAACTGCTTTTGTTATTTAATTACACCATCTTTTGTGTTACCAAGTGATTATAGCTAGGTAAAGTGCACAGTAGACAGGCAGTTTCTCTGAAAGTCATGCCAGAAATTGTGAAAAAAATGGAGTTAGAATTAGTGCATGATATGGTACAATAAGGTAAAGTAAAATTTAAACATCTGGGGACTTGCAACGAATAACCATAAAACTGTATTTTTGGGTTTGAGTTATGATAGTTTTGAGACATATCTTCTGGAACCGATTAAAATTGAAACTCAAGGGCCCACTGTATTTAAAATCCTTCCCAAATTTATAAAAAAATAAAAATAAATTTCTTCTATCTATAAAAAGCAGAATTTTGTGAAGAAAAAATTTCGAAATTTCAAATTGCAATATTTGTTTGGCTAATTGTACACTAATTTAACAAATTCCAATTGAAAGACAGTCCAAAATACACTGTAGGAATTCAATCTACTAAAGTAGCCTTTCCTCTCTCCATTAATCATGTCTTCAGGCCTCTCTTATATAACACTTGCTCTCCTTTTTCATTTAATCATCACACAAAAAATCTAAGGTTTTATCCAATTAATCAGATAGTAAGATAGAGCCAAAAATGATTGGTTATGGTTTAAGCTCTCAGTAATTGAAGCAGCTTTAGTTACCCCATAAAATAGGCTGGGGAGGGGTGGGACCCTACCCTTCCTCAGGCAAATCACCACTTTGAGACCTACTTCAAGCTGCTTCCAGTTTGAAACCAACAAAATCATCTCTTTTATTAGTATGTCTGGGTCAAATTTTCTGCTCACAACCCTTGGGAAGGTGCAGTGCTTAAAATATAGATCTATGCAAGCAACACTATGGCATCAGTAACAAAGATCTATATGGGAAATAGTGTGAAATAGACTAAAACTTTATAATTTAAATTTGAATTTTTTTTAAATTTGAACAAACTTGAATAGAGGTACAGTATTTTGAATTTTCTATAATTTGAATACCCCTGTACAGTATTAACATTATTCTGATAAATTTGCTATATAAAGTTTCAGCCTTCAAGGAGATGCCTTGATGCAGTTGAAGGGTTCTTGATCTAAAGAATTAGATCTACTCTCCCCTTCCTAAGATCAAACTTGATTACTCTCCATTCCTCTGATGCTGTACGACCCTTAGAGGTTCAGTGTCTCTCCATGGATGTAATAATGTATACAATTTAATCTCCATGGTAAAGTGGAAAACAATTCTTCCTGCACAAGCCATGCTAGTTGTAAGAGGTGACTAAAATACCTGGAGCAAGGGGCTAGTAATCCCTCCTGTATAAATTACTAAATGTAAAAAGACAAACTTAGTTTTTTAGGTCCCCCTGCCTCTGGGAAATGGCCAGTACATTAAAAAAATTACTTTAAGTATTGTACCTGGCAATGGTTATTATAAAGAACAAATTATAAGTTCATATATAGATGTGCCTCAAAGTGGTCAGATTAGCAACACTGTTCAAGGAATTGCACTGAGGAAGAAAACTCGACATGGGAATCTCGGTAGCAAAAGTTGAGTGATGCCATGAGTAGGGTGAAATTGCTTATGAAAGACACTGTGAGTATTGAAGATTATTGACATAAGGATGTATAGTGCTTTCTGATGAGCAATATTTGAGTTACCAAGTACTATTTAAAATTTTAATTGTCCTAAAAAAGTATCTTTAATAGCAAAATAACAATATTATATGTCATGTACTACTGTGTACTCTTACTAACAGTGTACATCAAATGATGAGAGTAACAGTGTAAGAATTTTTATGAAAAAATGTAAGAATGGTAATTTTTGAGCCAATATTACATTTGTACAATGACAGTTTGAGTGGTAATAAATAATATGCAATTATTTAAATTATGATTAAAATATTTTTCTGCTCTTTCAGGTGCTAAACAGCATATGGGGTAACAATAAATACTTGAGTAAAGGCACTTCAGCTGTTGCTGGTTCACTGGCCGGGGTGACTGCTGTCTTTCTTACGTATCCCCTGGACACTATACGTGCAAGACTAGCCTTCCAGGTGTCAGGAGAACATGTGTACACTGGCATTGTTAATGCTGCAGTAACTATATTCAAGTCAGTAAGTTGTTATACTGAAGGTGTTTGTTTTTTAGCATATGTATGTGTTGACTTATTGTTGATATTACACTACAGTACTAACTTTGTTACCCTGAAAACTCTGATAGACTGTCACATTTTTTTTTTTTTCCCCAACAAGTCAGCCGTCTCCCACCGAGGCAGGGTGACCCAAAGAGAAAGAAAATCTCCAAAAAGAAAATACTTTCATCATTCAACACTTTCACCTCACTCGCACATAATCACTGTTTTTGCAGAGGTGCCCAGGATACAACAGTTTAGAAGTATATACATATAAAAATACACAATACTGTAATAATAATACACATGTACTAAAAATACACAATACTATAATAATTTCAGTGTACAATACTTTAACAGTAATTTATCACAGCTGGTCTTGCTTGGCTTTGACAGTAGTATAGATGTGAGCGATGCTTTAAGTTTATAAAAAAAATATAAAATATTTTCCAAAAAGTACGTAATTGCTTATTTGGTTTGTGATGCTGGCATTATTTTAAGAATGTATTTACAATGAGAAGATTCAGGAGAGGGTTAGGTGTTTACCTGGAGAGTTTACCTGGAGAGAGTTCCGGGGGTCAACGCCCCCGCGGCCCGGTCTGTGACCAGGCCGTATAATTAAGAATTGGTATTAAACCATTTTTTGATACTTCAAACATTTAGCTGTTTTCTCAGTAAGTTTTAACCCTTTCAGGATCCGTGCTGTAGATCTACGGCTTTACGTTCAGGGTCCAAACTGTAGATCTACGCCATGAGCTCAGCTCACTTTGATAAGCTGTGAGTGGTAAATTTGGGCCTAGATATGAGAGAATACATCTATGTGGTATGTGTGCACCACATAAAACAAATCCTGCAGCACACACTGTATAAGGAGAAAAAACTGAGACCATGATTTTTTATTAAAACAGCGACTTTGCAGTGTTTTTTCGTATGTTTTTTATAGTTGTATTTGCGATTTCTTGGTCTCAATTGATAGAATGGAAGACATATTACAGAAATAGAGATGATTTTGATTGGTTTTAGCACTGGAAATGGCTTGAAACTGAGCTCAAAGTAGCAGAAATGTTAAATTTTTGCCGATGTTCTTGAGTAAACAAACGACTTCGCACGTCTAATACACGCCAGCTGGTGGGTCTAATATACATTCACAAATGTGGTGATGATATTTATACAATTATTGCAATATTGCATAACAGTAAATCTTCTATTTTTTGGTTTGAATAAAAATTCATTGTGAATAAAAAATCAAAATGGAATTAATTTGTAAAGCCTCAGAACGTAACTAATGAACAGAGGAAATGTTAGTTTAGTGCCAGGAATACCTACATTGTATATTCTGGACCTTATTTTGAAATTGGAATATTTTGAACTTTGTGTTAAATTGGCCAAATTACCAATTTCTGATCACTATTTTGTAGTTGAAACAGTTGACTTGGCAATTTCTTGTGCTCAATCGATAGAATAGAAGTAATACTAGTGAAATAGCTAAGAATTTGGTCGACTGGAATAGTGTAATTGGCCTAAAATGGGAGTCAAATTTGGCAAAATCGCCGATCCGTAAATATCGCTGGCACATCAAAATTCGCGAGAGCATAATTTTGTCAATTTTCCATCAAATTTCATACTTATTGTTTTATTGCCTTCAGAAAAAGATTCTCTACCATTTCATAAGAATTTTTTTTTTTTTTTTTTTAATTAACCCTTTGACTGTCGCAACCCCCAATCCTGAGGTGTCTCCTGGTGTTGCAAAATTTCAAAAAAAAAAAAAAAAAAAATTCTTACGAAATGATAGAGAATCGTTTCCCGATTGTAATGACCCCAAAAAAACGAAATTTGATGGAAAACTGACGGAATTATGCTCTCGCGAAGTTAGCGACCTCGGCGATATTTACAAATCGGCGATTTCGCCCACTTTGAACCCTATTTTCAGCTAATTCCATTGTTCCAGTTGACCAAACTCGTAGCTATTTCTTTAGAACTCCATTTTTTCTATCGATTGAGTACAAGAAACTGCCCATTTACCGATTTCAACTACCCAATAATGTGGTCAGAAATTTGCAATTTGGCCAATTTCACAAAAATTAAAAAATATGACAATTTCAAAATAAGGTCCAGAATGAACAATGCAGACATTCCTGGCTCTAAAATAACATTTTCTTTGTTCATCAGTCATGTCTCGAGGCCCCTCTGATATTACTCTTGCTTTCTATTTTGAATTTTTATTCAAACAAAAAATAGAAGACTTACTATTATGCGGACTACTGCAATACTGTAATAATTGTATAAATAACATCAACCCATTCATGACTGCATATTAGAATGGCTAGTTGGACATTTATTGGACAATGACATCATTTGTTTACTTTTGAACATTGGCAAAAATCAAACATTTTCCCTACTTTGAGCTCCATTTCCAGGTTCTTTTTATAGTAAAATCAATCAAAATCACCTCTACTTCTATAACATGTTTTCCATTCTATCAAATGAGACCAAGAAAATGAGAATACAACCATAAATACTATACGAAAATAGACCACAAAGTCGGCATTTTAATTAAAGAAAATGGTTGGAGTTTTTTTTTTCTCATTATGCACTGCGTGCTCCAGGATTTTTTTATATGGTGCACACTGACCACACAGACCCATTCTCACATGTGGGCCTACCAGCTTTCTCCTGCTTGATTTGAAGCTGCTAGAATTTGAGTACATATACGTCAAACACGGTACCTCGTAAGACGTATATATACGGCCGCGACAGTCAAAGGGTTAAATTCTTGGACCCAGGTGTGCACTTTGAAATTTGGCCTCTGAACCCTGAAAGTGTTAAGACTAAATACAGGAAGGCCATGTTTTACAACACTTCATTTTACGGCATTTCGCTAATACGTCAGTTTTCAATTATACCCATTCTTCACTTGAAGAAATGGTATGGTGATACCAACAAGATGTGGAAAAAGACACTTATGTACAGTTCAGGACATTTATTATAGGAAAAGTTTTGCCATGAGTGGCTTCCTCAGTCCTAATACAGAGAAAACTAAGAAAACTCATATATATGTAGGGACAATGCTGGACACCTCGTGAAATTCAGCGAGGCTAAACTAGTGATTAATGAAAGATGATTTAAGATGGAGGAAATGCATAGAAGCTGCCCTAATTGCTGTCAGTAACACTATAAAACAAAAGTCCAGTAGTTACAGTATCTCAAAATTGCTAATCAAAAGGATATTACCCATTCTGGAAACTTCTGTAACATATCAACAGGTCCCTCTGTAACCATCTGTCTCACCACGTTAGTTCCACTATTACTCTACCCACACAACACTTCACCTGACTTCTGTCACTATATATATTCGTGTTTTCTTAGTTTTCTCTGTTCACCAGGAGGCCTGGTCACAGACCAGGCTGCGGGGGCATTGACCCCCGGAACTCTCTCCAGGTAAACTCCAGGTATATTATATAAAGTATTTACTTGTCTACCTAGATAACATTAATATTAATTTTTTTTTTTTTTCCCCCCAACAAAGTTGGCCGTCTCCCACCTGCAGGGTGACCCAGGGTGTAATGGTGACATTACACATCCCTGTCTAAGACCTACTTTTACCGGGAAGTAGTCTCCCTCTCTTCTACACACCCTAACCTGAGCCTCACTATCCTCATAAAAGCTCTTTACAGCATTTAGTAACTTACCACCTATTCCATATACTTGCAACATCTGCCACATTGCTCCTCTATCCACTCTATCATATGCCTTTTCTAAATCCATAAATGCAATAAAAACTTCCCTACCTTTATCTAAATACTGTTCACATATATGCTTCAATGTAAACACTTGATCTACACATCCCCTACCCACTCTGAAGCCTAATAATAATATTAATATTAATGTTAATATTAATTCGATTAGTTAGTAACCTTCCAGTTGAAATCCTAAAGCAATGTTCAACTTACTGTAATTCTATGGATAATTGGACCTGGATACTGACTACTTGTTACAAAAACCCAGTAACAGGCTGAATGCTAGAGGGGCAGATCTTTCTAGTATTCACTGGAGATGTTTATAATTTATAGATATTGCATTTTTTGTAACTATATGATGGTGCAAACATGTTATCAGGCTTTTACATGCATTTGAAAGTGGAAAAAGGGCTATGTTTCACTTTATGGCAATTTTTGCTTTACAACAGTAACCCAGAACCAAACCTGCTGTATAAGTGGAGCCCTCCTGTATAGTCAAATGGTGTCAGGTATTAATAAATGAATTTTTACTTGTAGGACAAAATTTGTTGTGAAGGTCATGTTATCAGACCAACATGGGGTCTGGAGTAGCTTGGAAAATGGAAAAAATGTTACTTGACCAGAATGGTACCGTGCTTTATACTATGTATTCATATTTACCATGTTGAATGACACTGTATCATGGACCCTACAATAAATAAAATTTTTGTATTACAGTATTAACTCAGGTTAACCCAAGAATGCAAAATTGTTTAGCTTAATTCCATTGGGGTCTTTTGACCCTCCTTCCTAGGTGACACACAATAGCTGACTGTTTCCTAGATATCCATTTACTGCTTGGTATGTGCAGCAGGCGCCCTCATCATGTTTATTGAAATTGATATGTTTAGTTCTCTGTAAAGATTACAATATGGGGTTTACATTTTTTTTTTTTTTTTTAACAAATCTGTAGTCTCCCACTGAGACAGGGTGACCCAAAAAGCAAGAAAATCCCCAAAAAGAAAATACTTTCATCATTCAACACTTTCACCTTACTCATACATAATCACTGTCTTTGCAGAGGCGCTCATATACGACAGTTCAGAAGTCCCTCCAAACTGCCAATATCCCAAACCCCTCCTTTAAAGTGCAGGCATTGTACTTCCCATTTCCAGGACTCAAGTCTGGCTAACCAGTTTCCCTGAATCCCTTCACAAAATATTACCCTGCTCACACTCCAACAGATTTTGGGAAATGTTGAGTGAGT